TCCTTGGCAAGTCTCCTTACCCGGATCACCTTTTGAAGGCCATCGGCAATGGAAATATTCAATTTCTTGAAGAAGATTTGGGACGAAACGCAAAGCAATATACTCTGTACCACATCACAGGACACAGGTACTACTATGAGTATGAAGACAATCACGGCTTTCCGTCGGAGTGGGATTGTTCGTGGCCCAAACACATCCGTAGAGGGATTTCTGGATTGCTGAGGGGACACGTGAGGGATGTCTCGATCTATGATCCCGCTTGTTACCTTCCTGTGTACAAGTTATTGCCGCTTGCGAAGAACAAGTTTCCCGACTATGCAGATCGCATCAATCTTTATGAGTTAATTTCAATGGCGATTTATGATGAGAAAGATCGCGTTGAATTTCTATGCGTATATGATTCAAAGATCAACGAAGAGCTGGAGCTCTGGGCGGCGCCGGTCAAGGTCCGATGTGGACAGGGCCACACGGATGACGTGTTGGAGACACGATCAAACGAAGTTCTAGCAACAATAATTTATTGCCGACCAGACCATGCCCACCGATACAATCGACGACTCACGGCTCATGGCAACCGCGATATCCCTCCTCGACTGTACCACAGGACGCACGAGGAGGCGGCGCGATCTATCATTGCAAACGGACTACTTCCTGGAGGAGGAGCCGGCGGACCCAAGAGCAAGGGTAACTCCTTTTTCTCCATACTACCTCTGGGAGACCAGAAGGCGATGTCAGGTGTCCGTGCAAATCGTCCCGTCGAAATTTGTTTCTCTACAGCAGAAATCATCGAGGCGGGCGTTGACCTATTCTTGACGAACTCGAATGCAATGATTACAAGTCATCGTGTTCCCAACGCGTGTATCTTGTTCGCTACACGCGCCCGCGTAAATGCGGAGCCTGAAGTGTTCTACTCAAGGCCACAAGCTATTGATCCAGCAAACATTGAGGTTGGGCTCAACAGGACGACGTCAGTTTGATCCCGGGTGAAATTTCAGAAGCGCGTACCGTGTTGGGAGGCATCAATGAAACGACACCTGAGGAGCGTACAGCTGCCAGCAGCGCCATCAAGAAAGAGACCATGGAGGCCAGCCACGATACCGCAGTCCCTCGAATCGAGAGCGGGTACTTCCTCCTCCACCTCCGCACATTCAGCTGCGACAAGTGCGCAACCCTTTCCTTAGCAGGAATGGCATCATGTCACAGGTGCGGAGCAGTCTTTCAGGGTGGTTCAACTGATGGTCCTATTTCCAAATTCGAAGACGGTGCAACAGCAGGGGGGTGTTCCCACCAATATGACATCCACCAGCATGCTTGACAGCATTGCCGGACAAGACATGCAACCAGGTCGTCCTCCTGCTCGTGGTCCCTCGGTTGATAGTCAAATTATCCTTTCTGCACGAGGCCGTCTTCGCCGAGCATTGCAAGCTGGGTATGAAAATGTTTATGATCGGTCCAACCGCGACGATGTCTTCGCCACCTCCTTAACCGGAGAGGGACGCACTGCATTTGATGCAGCTGCAGGAAGACTTGTTTGCGTCGCTGCAACTGCCAGCGCCTTCTCGATCTGCCAAACAGCGATCAAAAGGGAAATCAGTTGTCAGCGATTTGGACCGACAGGATAGGGTCGACCTTGCCAAGCTCGCGTACATTCGATGCGGCGTCGACAATCTTCATACCTGTTTCAAGCAAGGGCTCGATGAGAATTTTCTCATTAGCTATCGTCGTGAATTTTTGTCCCTTCGACAATTCGCTGCCGTAATTGGCAACAGCCGAGACGAGCTCAAGATCCAGGGTTTCATTCCCACGGACGACATCTACGGTGATATTCATTGCATCCGCATACCTCGTGGAGACACGATGGGCATTTTTTACAAGATTTTGAGTGAATTTGCGGAACAGAATGAACATTTTGCCAATTTGCAATACCAGCGGAATGCCCAGCAGTCAGCAAATATGCAGGAGCGAGACCGCGGGCAGTCGATTGGGCAAATGGGATTTATGAACATTGAACAGCGCATGGCAACGCCTATTCCAAAATTTGCGGATTGCGGTCAGGATATGACTTCGTATGAAGTTTTGCGATTGGAACAGCTATTGCTGGAATTCGGTCAGCGAGATTCTCCATCTCCTCAGGCGCCTGTAAATAGGCCGCCATTGACACGAAAGCGTCCGCAGTCTTACAATGAAGGCGTTGATGATGCTGATAAAAGACCAAGATTACAGTGGAGGAAGAAAGAAGATCGAGACCAATCTGGCCGCTTCGCAGCATGGACTGATGATAGGATTCCTCCGCCTGGTGTGCCGAAACCACCAGCTCCCGTAACTGGGATGCATACGTCGTCGGTGTACAGGCCACCGCAACCTCCTGCTCAAGAATCAGCGTCTCCAAAGGAAGACTTCCCTAAACGGAATGTCAACGCAGAACAGAATGTTGCTCCCAAGGGCAAAGGCCGAAGCGGTTCCACCACAGAAGGATCTACAGCTCCCGCAAAAGGGAGGCCGTGCGATGTCTTTCCTCCCTGAGGACAGGGCGCCCAGAAGAGGCAACGTCCCAAAGGACCTCCTTGGTCCGCCACTGCACACGCCACCGCCAGTCAAATCCCAAAGCCACCGAACTATCCACCACCGCTGCCAATGAAACAAGCTCCTGTATCACCACCTCCACTTCCGGCGCCAGCTCATCCACCAATGACTGGTTTATCGCCGCCACCAAAACGGCAACCAATCCAGCAGAGGCCACCGCCGCCGAAGGTTCCACCCAATTCATCCAGCGGCGTTCCAGTTCACACCAGGCCAGCGGACTTCAACCTGACGCCGAAGCCGCCGCCGCTTGCCGATCTTTGCAACCGGTTGCAACCTTCCGTAAAGGGAAAGGGCAAAGGCAAGCAACAAGGACATGTTTGAGAAGGTCCATATGAGGCACGACCATGGCATTTGTGCAATGTGCCGCCGCCACCGTTACCCTCAGGGGCTCCATCATCATCATCGTCATCGCATGCTCCCGTAACTGGGCAGCCTACGATGCGAGGTACAGATGAGCGACCGTTGGAACCTTTTGACTTTCCAGGGGTACAATGGCAGCGCACAGATCCATGGGCCGACAACTATTGGCCCAATCATATGGAACTTCGTCAATGGATGGAACAAGGTTGGCAGGATGATACAGAGCGATTTGGTTACAGGCATTATTGAAATGCATATGTTGAACAGCTACCATAACTGGTATGCCATACAGCCTATGAGTGTTGAGATGGGGATCACCTTCTGACCCGCAGTGAGATGATGTTTCACCATGTTGTCTCACGCGATAACGCATCCCTAAAAGGATTGCCTTAGTCGGAGAGTGAACTTTTAATCAATGCTCTATCTAGAACTGGGTCTAGCATGTATAACTACATGCCAAGTGAGCCGGTAGGTTGTACATTAGGGTAGCTACGTTCTCCTTGTATAGTGCATGCACGAGCTTGATGAGGGATTTCTAATATGATTCCTTCGTCGCTAGAATTTGAGCCTCCCGAGATTTTCCCTACGGGTAGCTCCTTGTAAAGGGGGGTGTTGAAATTCACCTCATCCCCATGGACCCCGTAGCGTGTACTCTCAAGGGTAGAGTAAAAGGTGCTTAACGGCTAGACAGGGTTAGTTAGGAAATCCGAGCTGATCCTGTAAAATACAGATGTAAAAGCAGACTTGCATTTCAGTATAGTGGGAACTCTAGAGTTGGATGAGCGCCAGGGCCACATGTTTCGGGTCAAGCGCTGGACCGCAAGATAACGCACTCCTTGGGATACTGGATTCAAGCCGGTCGCATCTGAGGAAGTCGGCTATCCAGCGCTCGGTGGGCTTTCAGCAGGTAGACCGACATGTGAGAAACGCCTTGGTCGACTGGATTGGCCAGGCAGTGCGACACCAATTCCAAGAGCTGGTTGAGGGAGCTGGTTGAGATCTCCCTGAGCTCGCATTAGATGTCAAAATCCAGCTCCGCACGAGCAACGCTCAATGATGTGTGCTTCAAAATTGTTTGTACTTGTACATTGTGAGAAGTGAATCACAATTTTCAATTTACTTCAGGCCGCAGCGAGTAATTTAGCTTCAGCATGTGCACAAGTCACATCAAAACAGTGCATTGGGAAAATTGGGTGTTCGGTGTTGGTGAAGTGTTGCGGGAGGACATATTTTGATTGTATTCTGGCAGCTCAGAGTTGAAACCGTTGGATTATTAGTCTGAACCTGAGTCCTACTACCAGATGGAAACATGACACAGTACCCCCCATGACCCACTGTGAAGCATCATTTCCAACCAGAAGACATGCATAAGCAATGCATTTTAGTGACCCCTGCAACATGTTTTTTGAATCGACGATGGCATCTTTGGCTTCAGCATCTCCATCAGGAGACCCAAACCGACTACAACAAATCGGAACCAAGACCATTTGCAGTGATTCGCTGGCCACTTGAGGCTGATGCATTGCTGGTTGCATGAAATGGTGAATGGTGAATTGCGACTCGACTATTCAAAACATAGTACGGTACATGAACATCATAGTGATCAGCCTAGAATCCTACGTTCCATGAGCCTTTGGCGGCAACATGGCAACCCTTTGCGTGTCGAGAGGAACCCTTTGCGTTTCGTTTGTTTGATCATGTCAACAAGGGTCCCTTGGATCATCGGATCTCATGGCAATAAGGTACTTCTTTCAACCCCATTCATCAAGTGACCTCGGGGGGGCCTCATGCCATGAGCCATGAGGCGACATGAGGTCGACAACGTGGGCGTCCCTTGTCGGATGAGTGTGACATTTCTTTGGAAGACGAAACCTCACGGCAACTGTGGCACACATGTTGCAGACAAGGTACCCAAGCCAACAGTAAGATCAGCTAGAAACGAAACGATTTTGACCTGTTTCCTGCTTCTTGAGGCCAAGGCCCACTGCAATGACCACCTTTTTTTGGTCCTCCCACGACCGCCTTTTTGGTCGCGCTGTCGCGCTGTGCCAGGTGACTGGCCCAAGGCGTCCGGTCCATGGCGGTGAGCGAGGCGTCGGTGGCTGGGGGCCTTTCTCCAGGCCCCGAGTTCTCAGGTTCTGCAAAAACACTTGTAGAATTGGTTTTTCATTTTATCCGTTCAAGAAGGGGTAACATCCAGGCAACTCTTGCTTGCTTCCTTGTTTTGGAGGCCCAGACAGATATCATGGTATCCCAAACATTATCCACTGGGATTCACCCATTGATTTGCAAAGTTGATCTTCCTCTCTTGCACCAACTGGTGGCAGCGTGCTTCCCGGGCTAGCACGCTTTAGGCTCAAAGGGGAGCACCCGTAGGAGCCCATCGGATGGTGTTTGAGGCCTCGGACGATGGGACGAAGCCACCCACCGTGGCTGCGTTGAAGACCTGCGACTACTTGGAGCTTCAGAACCAGGAGCCTGTGGCCTGTGTTCATGCCGACTGGTCAGAGAGGCTGCTGAAACGCAAGAAGTTGGAGGTTGGTGTCCTTTGCGAAGCACCCTTGCTCTTCGATGAACGAAATGCCAACGGGAGCAGAACGTGGAGGGACGCCAGTGGAAAAATTGTGGTGGCCAAGCGTGGAGAGGAAGAGTTCGAGGCCATGGCACGCCGTGCCGAGTCCTCCGGTGCAGTTGGGCTGGTGGTGGTCGACAACGAGGATGTCTTTGATGATGACTTTGAGATGGCATCGGAGGACCCCTATCGACCTCTCTCGGTTCCGGCCGTCTTGGCGCCCAAGGCCTGTGCCGAGCTGCTCTACGGCCGAGCCAAGGAAGCGCGGGTCGTACGAAGGTATCATCGCACGCCCTCACCCTCGGACGCACGGATGCTTCAGTTCTTGCGGATGAGAGGGGTGGAGGTCAATCTAAAGATGACGTGAGGACCGGACGCTCGCAGTGTTCGAGCATTTCATAGCATTTCTGTCGCCGGAAAAAGGGCATCCGAGTGTGATGCTGGGCCGGGCCTGCGTAGCTTTGCCGCCCATTCAGTTTCAGCAGCAAGATCCATGCGTGGTTGACAACACCATCCTGCTGAGAAACCCTTGGTCAACTGCAAGATACTGTCAGACGAATCCACCACAATCAGTTCAACTTGGAACGGCACAACACCGAATAGTTGACTTGCTGTAACTTACTATGATTTACCACCACCATCAAGTCACCACCCCCAACCCATTCGGAGCAGCGAGCCAGGACCCCAGGACCCCCCCCCCACCCCCACTTCGGTCCGACCCGTGAGCGTTCGTCGGTTCGTCCAGCGCCGCGCCGCGACCGCAGGGCCTGGAAGAACACCTTCCGCCGCGCCGCGACCGGCGCCGCTCGCCCGGCGCCCGGGTCGACGTGGCGGGAAAGGGGAAGCTACAGTGGCCGCCTGGATGCCTGCGGGCCCCCGAAAAAAAGGGGGTAGTTCAAAAACAAGGAGAGAGTGCCAAACGGTGGTTGTCCTATAGTGACCTATAGGTGCAATCAACGATGGGGAGCTGTCCAGTCATGCCTCTGGTTGGCATTGGCACATTTGCTTGAGGCTGAAGCCCCATGTCGCCTTGTTGGGGCGGCGGAACTCCAAACCAACTCCGCAAGGCAGGGTGCCTCGGTGAATCTGGGCGACCTTGGAAGAGATTTTCCATTGAATCAGTGGTCGGCCATGACTCAGGTTGTATAAACATCTCGTAGACAACATGTAGACATCAGTGGGCTGGACATCATTATTCCCACTGAATGAGTGGGTTGGTTGTAGACATCGTTTTAGACAATGGCCTTCATCAAGCCTCGAGTCGGTCGGCCATCCAGCGCAGGCAAAGAAGCGAACCTCTTCGCCGAGGCCCGAAAACATAGCGGGCGGAGAGTCACCTGCTCCTCTTGTTATGCCGTTATAAAGATAATCAGCATAATTTCATAGTTTGCATCCATTGCTTCAGGATAAAGGACGACATTCTGGTCTTTCATGCGAAAGAAGGGCACGTCGGCCAGGATCCCTTGCAGTTCCGTCGACCGGAGGGGACCGTGGAAGCTCGCTGCTCCCAGTGTGGTGATGGAGATGCCTGCAACAGGCGGGACAGCTGGGCCAGCTGGGCGCTGGGCTGTGCATTTTCGATTGGTATTGTAGAAGGGTGAGCTACATGTCGCTGGGTCGAGGCCCAAGAACCTCCCTCCCCAAACCCCAAAAATACCTTCCAGGTAGGGATCTTTGCTTCTTGCTTTCTTTTGATGGGGGGGCTTGACTTCAACCATAGTCCCAGACAACCCACACGTCCGCAGATTCTGCTGGGGTGTTCTGTCGCAAGCCACTGCTTGGGGGGCACCAGCATTGGATCACTGAGTTTGTGGGTTCTTGCAAAGGATTACACGACAAGACAGTGGTGGGGGTGCAATTTTATTTATTACTGCTATATTTTTTCGATCAAGTGAACACATACAGTACACGTTACAAAATGACTTCTCATCATGATCCAACTTGATTAGTAACTTCTTCCTTCCTGGTGCTAGGGTCGGCCGAGGAATCCAGATTTCACTCCATGAGCGCCAGATGGCAGCTGACTGCTCTGTGTAGCGCGGAGCTTCGGTTTCCAAAAGCAGTTTAGCCAGGTGTGAACTCCAAGGTCCTCTGCAGCCGCAAGAGCCACAGGAGCTGATTGTGGCAGTTGTTCTTGAGAAATCAACTAGCAGCTTCTTGCTACTAGTAGCAATGGCCTCCAACCTACTAGCGATGGCCTCTAACCTAGTAGGTTCTAGAGAGTTGGGCGTTTTCACAGCTTTTTTGTGCTTTGACGCTTTTGATGCTTTTTTTCCTCGCTTCGGACAAGACACTCGGACAGCCTTGCCTCACTGCAAAATGATCCCATGGAATTGCTTTAGACAGCTTTGTCGCTAGAGCGCCAGATGCGGAGTAGTTGTAGCGCTCTGGCCCGGTCAGGCGCTGGTGGAACCACTTGCTCGGAAGCGCCCTGAAGGTGCGGTCCATCGGTACATCTTGATAGATCACTCCTTTCTGTCCTCTCAACGTTGTTATGTACATAATGAAATACATTAATAATATACAGTACTAGCAGTTTTTTAAAGTTCGGTTGTCGATCGTTTTAAGAACCTTCTTTTTCCTATCAGGAGTCCGGATCGCTTTCATACAAATTGTGTTGGTTTGGTTGATTGAATCTTTATCAGCACTGATGTTACAGCTTGAATGATTTGTTGTCCATCATTCCAGCCAAATTGTTCAGCTGCTTGAAGGAGGGCTTCCCCGAAGGAGGCGGGCTGTTTTCAGCGAGCGCTCAAGAAGCGAGCGCTCGAACATGACTTTCGGATGTACATCATCTTCACAGAGATCAGAAAAAATATGGAATGTTTCAATCATGTAACACCTTCTGTGCGCTTTTGTATAATGCAGGATGATTATATGATCTATAAATTAAGCTATAGAAAAGGTCGAAGTTGTTTTTTTCTTGCAGATTCTTGAAGATATTCTTCAAATTGGTGCTGCATGCAACAGGCAACAAAACATTCAGGTCGTCCAAGATTCGTTCCACTTCTAGGCGTAAGAAACCTGGCCTCCACTTCTTCACCTGGCATCGGTCCTGGCGTAACGCCCTTCCTCACCCGGCCGACTCTCCGGTCGAAGCCTCCCTCGGCGGACTCCTCAGACGGCCAGGACGGTGGACGCCCTTCGTGGAGCTTCGAATCTGCCGTGGAGACCCAGTGGATGCCCAGCGTCTCGCGACAGAGAGTCAGCGACGGGAGTCGCGGGTGTGGTACAGCGGTCGAAAGCGACGGGAGTCGCAGGTGAGAGAAAGCGAGCATCCACGCGGTATCTAAAGCTCGAGACTGTGAATCATGGTGACTTGTAACCAGTCAAGCTCACATGCTTCAGAGGTCTAGTGGAACTGCAAGAAGGATCCACTCTTGTTGGATGGTGTCTTTCTTTATCCTTTTTGTTTCTGACCCCGCAGTGGTCCCAGGCACAAAGCATTGCAGGGCTACCAGATGCGGCTTCAAGTTGTCGCCATCGAACTCTGGAAAGAGGCGATCAGTGGACCATGTTGGAGCGTGCCACCACTGTTATGGTAGGTTGATAACAAGCTGGTTGAAACACATTATATGCGTCAGAGCACTGGGTTGAGTAGCCAAGTTTTCTTTACTGTAAATGTTGCTGCATCATTCGCACTCCTTGCACGCTGCATTCTGATTCTCATTGTCTTGGCAGGCACTAATGGAGGAGGAGACGGAACGATCGTGTCACTGATCCATGGACGGCTGTGCTGCAAAGCCCCAAGTGAAATCTGCAGATCGATCTTGACCAAAGATTTGAGGGGCAAAGCCATGTTGCATGAGTGAGATTCCTGAAGGAACATGTTGGAGCCATGTTGTGACATGCCCTGATGTGATGAGCAAGTATTTAACAACGTCTCAATGATAGAACTGAGCTTCTTATGCTGAGAACATTGCCGGACTGACATGGGGCGGAAGCTGCTGAGCACTCAACATGAATGGTGTTGCTGGCGGACTGCTTTGTCCACCTTTGCGTGAAGAAAGGCCTTCGATGATGAGTATTGATGACAACGTCTCAATGATAGAGCTGAGCATGGAATGCTGTGCTGACACTTTTAGTCAAACTGATGAGGGCCGGCGAGAAAGTCGCTTGGGGCTTGATTGATTTTATTGATTTGGTCTTGGGAAGTGAGTATCTAGAATCCGGGCAGGGTAAGCCAGGTCCAGAGAAGCATGCTGACTTGCTGAATGCAGCTTCAGCATCCACACATGAGGAATTGCTGGCATTCTGGTTTGCACATGGTAATTCTATGGTGATGGTGGTGAGTGCAATGACAGTGTCGTTGCACAGCAGGAGCTGGCATGTCATGGTGACGGTGTCTTCTTTGTGCCCTTGTCGGATGGTCTTACCGGGACCGGTGTCAGAACCCTTGGCCTTGCACACTCATACACTGCACTTGACTCATTCTTGGCATTTTTGCGTCAGAGGGCCTCAGGATGAGCAACTATTTAACAACGTCTCAATGATAGAACTGAGTAGTGCATGCGGAGAATCTTGCCGGACTGATATGGGGCAGAAGCTGCTGAACATGAATTTTGCTGTCATGGCAGGTCTTGACAGATTGCTTTGACCATCATTGCATGTTTGAAGCCTCTTCACGAAGGGCCATCTATGATGATTATTGTCAATAAACGTCTCAATGATAGAACTGAGCATGGAATGCTGACAAGAATCAGGCTGATATGGCTGGCAACATGTGAATGGGGTCTTTGTGAATGTAAACGCAGATAGGCTCACCGACTTTGGTAATTTTGATTACACCCAAATACTATCCTTTTTGATCCATGGTGTCTTTACTCAACCCTATAGATCTCGAACTCGCTTCCACCTAGGGTGTATTTGTGTGTGTACTGCAGACAGAAAAAGCACTGCCAAAAGAAGGGTGCTTGAAGGCAAGGACACTCAGCTGCTGACCTGTCAGATTGCCGCTAGGGTTTTGTGCATCCTTCAGCTGACTGGTGCTTAGTAGAGAATGGGGGAATGACTCCTAAGGTATCTATAGTCTGAGGTCAGCCAACAGCCATCCTCATTCCCTGTTTTCATCCCAACAGGCAAGCCGCTGCTCCTTTTCTCGCTCGCAAGAGCAGAAGTAGAAGTCCAGACGTGCGGCATGTCTGTGTCTGTCGGGATGCCGAACATCCCGTTGCGCCTGTGCGGCCATGTATGGTTGGGAGAAACCCCTGTTTCAGAAACACCGTGCGATGCTTTGCAGTCCAGGAGCAAATTGGTCCATCCAACATTGAACTTGAGGCCGGGCTGTGTGGCTTTGATTGTAGCTCCATGTTCCAGCTAGTACCTACGTGGCTACTAGTGAGTGGAAGGAAACTGGATGGAAGAGATCCTCTTAATTACTTTCCACATTTCTGTTGAATTGGTTGAGTCGGTGGAGCATTTTGTAAGTGCAGTAAGCCAGACTCTCAGCTGCTCCCTTTGCAATCCAATCTTTGCTTGCTTCCTGGCTATTTCAATTGATTGAAAGGATGTCAACATGAAGCCTCATACATGTCCAACACCCTGGTTGCTTTTCTCTTTCATGTCTATGGCCTTGTCCAAGGCCTTTTTTGTTTGAACCCTTCTTATGCGGTGAAGCAGCTGCAGGCCTCCGACGTCCCAATGGGCTCCTTGTTGTGCTCCTTGTCCTCGGTGGAAGTCGCGGAGGACCTCGTCCCGTTCAACGGCGCTCGTTCGTGCCGGTGGCACCGGTGGCTGCGGAGAGCCGGACACTTTTGCGCCCTGTCACGCCTGGGAAGGTGGGTGAACAATCACAACAAGTGCCACGCTAGTAGTAACAGGTGCCTTACTAGTAGTAACAAAGAAGCTATTAGAAACAAGTGCCTTACTACTAGTAACAATAACAATTTAATTAGAATTCTAATTAATAGCTTCTTGTTACTACTAGTAAGGCACTTGTTACTACTAGCGAGGCACTTGTAATTACTACGCCTGGGAAGGTGGGTGAACAATCACACATCAAGCTTGGAATGCAGGATTCAGGCGCCCCCGGCTTCGGTGTACCTGTTTCAGACTTCACACGTCTCCGAACGCGGGATTTGGACAGTCTTCAGGCCCAAAACCGCTCAGTCGGGGACTAGAGTGGTCAGTCAAGAGCTCGTCGCTGGTGTCAGGAGGAGGAGGAGGTGGAAGTCCATGGCTGTCGAAGTCCACAGCTCTCCCAAAGCTTCAGCCTCAGGTCGTGCCATTGTAGGTTTTCTTTACATAATTTTACATAACTGTTGCTGGATGGTCCACAAACATCCTGTTGTTGTTCGGCCGGTTCGGGACAAAGGTGGGAAGATGCTAAACGTATCTAAACGTAAGAGAGTAAGATGTCAATGTGTGGGGATCAAAACGAACAACTGCACGCTTCCGCAGTGAGCTGAAGTCACATTGAAAAGAGAGTGTTTTTGGCAAGTGCATCAACTCACCGTACCTTTTTTTCAGCCGGTGATGCACATCCCACCATGTCTGGTCGCTTGAAGAGACCAGCCAGTGGCCTCCAGATTTTCTGTCCATCGACCGAGGTCTGGAGAACGTGCATGAGCCCTGGACTTGGTCGATGGGAAAAGCACCCACCACGTGACACAGTCCTAAGTGGCATGGAAACGGAAGATCCATTGAACAAACCGCTGGGGCGGCTTTCAGGTCGGAAGGTTTGTGGTTTGCACATGGACATGACTAGTTGGAGGAACGCAGATATAGAGGTTTACCAATGGATCGGTGATACCAGAATCTTGATATCCAGTTGACTGGCTGAAGCTTTATAGGGGCTTTAAAAGCCAGAAGAGAGAGGGATAGAGGGTGATTGCAGCCATCCCAGGTCCGTCCTGACACAGCGCATTTTTCTTGCTAGGTGGCGACGGCGCAAGCACTTGGGCAGGACCAGTCCTTTGATCTACTGTAGATTCTGCTGGTGATTTCAAATGCAATAGATTTCTACCAGATAACAAGAAACAGTTGAGTTGAGGAGAAACAAGATCCCGATGCATTATGGCCATGTACAAAGTTGACTGGTTGAGCTCTGGGTCTTGGTCTTAACCCACAGCTCACAGAGGAAAATATCCTCCACACCCCACAGTCGCTGCCGTTACTGGAGGATTTGTATCGCTTGGCGGCGCCTGGCGGCCAGGCGCTTGGCACGGCGGCTCATCAACAAGGCCGAAATGTGGAAAGCCGTTCGAGCCCGTGAAACCTAGGAGCGATCAGACGCTACGAACGTAGCTCCTGGCGTAACAAAGGGCATCGCTACTAGGAGCATGGACGCTACTGGTAACAAGGGCATCGCTACTAGGAACAAGAAGCTACTAGGGGCTCCTGGCCTTACTGCTAGGAGCAAGGACGCTACTAGCGTATTTGCAGCCCTGTCAGACAGTGACGTTGGTGTGATGGTGAAGATCCCATGCCACGGCGGATGTGTTGGTGCTCTTCCTTGCAGGTTTGTATCCAATTCCATGCGCAGGCATCGGGAAGAGTGAAACGAAGAGAGGATTGCACAGCAAATAGTATAACACGAAAAACACCGAATACTGTACGAAAAGGGCCATATGGGACACTTTGAGCCTCTTCAGAAAGACATATCTGTCTTTTTTTGTTCGTTTCCTGTGGGCTTTGCAAGAAAGGCTACTGCACCAGAGCATCTCGACTTCTGGGTCTTAAGCACCACACTGGAAGGCAGCTTCTTCTGTTTTGACAGGCTCAAACAACAGATCATGGCACAAGAGAAAGACCTGAGGGTCGACTTTTGTGATGATTGATGGGTGGGACAAAGACTTATAGACATTGGCCTGGCCTGCGGGGTCATCCCGGCATGGAGTGTGTTCAAGTCTTCCCAGGCAGGCTCTTGGATGTATTCATCCATATCCATCCATATCCATTGGCTTTCTGATTTCAGAGTGTAGACCCTCCACTTTTGCCACCTCCTGGCCGCCATGGTGCTTTCAGAACCAACCAGGAGCTACCCAGGCGGAACCGCACTGGTCACTTGGCGCCAGCGGTTCTGAGTGGAACTTCTCCTGAGCCACACAGTATGGCTATGTATGATGGCTAGGCTGCAGAGTAGGATTTTGTGCACAGATCCCGTTGTGATCCAGTCATTTGACGGAACGCGGGGCCTAAATCCCCGGTGAAGTGGAACTATGGGACGAGATGGTTTGGACGCATCATGAAATGGTTTGGTTCTTCATACTGACCTGTGCCTGTTCGAGGAAAACACTGGCACAAATCTTGCACCAGCCCACTCCAAGTAAAGACACCTTTAGCAACAAGATGGTTCAAGCATTTTCGCTGAGGCTGAGGAAGAGGAGTCAAGGCAGAACTTGAAGTTTCCTGGGAATCTGAGCTGTTTTAAGGAGCGCAATGTGGGCTTTTTGGCTGCCTCGGTCTTCTCTGTGGCATATGTGGCAGCTCCCATTCATGTGGCTTGGCAATTGGTGGTGCGGCGCTGCGCCCCGAGAAGAGGAAGTACAGCTGAGAGTACTCTGCTTTTCACCTGGAAAAAAGGGGATCCACGCAAAGCCAACCAAATGAGCGCTCAAGGTACATACATGACTTCGTCCCAAACGAAGGCCGTCGAATGAGGTCTTCCTGGCCCTCGGCGTGACGGTGCGACATCCCTTTTGGTGGGGAGCGTGGCTGATGAACTTGCCGCAACGCGGCAGCAAGCTGAAGCGGGCCCCCCAAGCCACCCGCTTGGTGGGGCCAGGAGGGATGTTTTGGGTTGGAGCAGCTGATGCAGATGCATCAGCAATGCATCAGCAACTGGACCTCAAAATCTTAGTGGCCTGACATTTCGAGCCTGAAGGAAAGCGCATCGCGTGTTGGACGCTTTGTCTCAATAGAATGCCACGTGCGCAGGACGGCGCAGGGATTTGACTCCGTGGGTTTCGGACTCAGGATTTTGGTGTCGTTCATGCTGCCCTCCCGCCTGGTGGAGCGCTTCTCCAATCCTCTCTTTTGCTCTTGGCCGATGCGGCAGCGCCTGGGACCATGGTCGAATCGCCTCAAGGTGAAAATAAATGATAGGAAACTTGTTTCTAATAGCAAACATTGTTCCTAGTAGCGATGCCCTTGTTACTAGTAGCGATGCCCTTGTTACTAGTAGCGATGCACTTGTTGCTAATAGCTTCTTGTTACTAATGATAGGAATGGTCGACATGCGCCCGGCGCGGAAACTGGGGAGGGTCTGGTCGATGCAGGTCGTCTATGGTGGGTTGGTCGACATGATGTCGGCTTGGCCGTCGAGGGTTGGCCGCTTCGGTGACGACGAGAGTACCGTCGCACCGTTGCTCCTTGAGGATCCCCAAGTACTTTGAGTACGAGGAGTACCATGAGACAACTGACAGCCACTCGGTGAACGAGGCACTGCATGGCAGTGCATGGTTGATTTTTGTAGAATGAAACATCATGAAACATCGATATCTCCTCCTTAGCGGCTAAGAGACGGTCTGACTTTGTAGAGTTCAAGTTGTGCTGCTGTGAGATTATGTTTTGTGACTACAAGACCAGTCACCCAAAGTGATAAAGACTCGAACTACGAGAACCAAGAGATATGTATAGCAAACATTTGGGGTTTCTAGACTTTATCATGTGATTTGGAGAATTTCTTGCATGTTCCTGATGGGACACAACCTAACCTAACTCTCCTAGGCCCAGCTCTTTTTCGTGGGTCTAGGTATCCTGAGGCTAGGTCGGTGGGAGCTACAATCCCATTCAGCCTTTGTGATGCTGACGAAGGTCGCCTCCACAACGAAGGGTCAGTTTTTAAGCTCCACACGGTCACCTCCGTCGACCTCTCCAACCGGAGTGGTCGTTGGCGTCAGGTGAGCTTCGTTCGACGGGGAAGAACTATCTGGTCGGAGCCCATCCGCACGGAGTCTTCTCCTTCGCAGGCGTTTGTGCAGCAGCTTCTTGGTGTAGCAGCTGATGGTTTTCACCGCCGAAGTGGTGGCCACAAGTGAAGTTGACCCAGATGGAAAACGCATCACAAAACAAGGATACCAACATGAATCCCACAACAATCGCACAGGCTCACACGCGTAACTATTGACAGCAACCAACCCTATGAACCATACAAGCAGTTCGAATGTACTTTTTTTCACTGAATTTGAACTCTACTTAAAAAATCGGTGCACTGACCCTATTTCATGTTGCATTTTGCCTCCCCCTGGTTCGAAGAAAGGTCACAATTCAATGTCCGGGCAGAAGCACCCATTGAGTTCAGTGCTGTCAACCCTGAAGTATGACACATTTGATGTGCCGCATGAGACCAATTGTCTACTCGAAGTCATTTTGTTGGGGGGACTCACCTGAGAGTGAGGCCCAAACACACTTTTTTAGACGCGTCAGGCCATCAGGCTCAAAAACGCTGAACTGGTGAGTGTTTCTGTTTCTTTTCTTTCAGATGATCGACTGCGGATAGACCGCAAAAAACGAACCACGCGGCTTAGTACTGTAATCCTTAGTTGACTCAGCAGTTCTCAGGTTGCATGTTGATCTCGGTGTAATTGCTTTGTGTCTTGAACGGGAAACCTTGGATCCAAAATTTGCTCAGCCATTGATTGCCAAAAGGTTGCCACTCACTCATCTCCAGATGGCTTTGGGGCTGCGCTGCCGGAGGAGAGACCGACCTATAATTTTCAAGGATTTTCTGCTTTGTGATCCCTTGCTGTGGGATAGCCCGGCTGTTTGATCGAGTCGGATCTGTGCTTGGAAGGCATCGACACAAATCAAGCTACGAGACTTGTCTTCAGAACACAGTGATGATCAATGATGTAGTCTCTTCATGAATAACTGAATAACCCCCCAATACGAAGAGGTTCTACATCCGAACTTTCGGGGGTCTTATTAATCAAGAGTCTACAATCGGGTTTGGAAGATGCTTGTTTGGGCGAGCTGAGGTGGAGGACACGACCGGACGGACTGCTGGAACGGACGTGAACAGACACCCCGTTTGAAAGACTCTTTCGGTGTTCCAAGGGGCCCCCGACTTACCTTCCATGTGAGTCAGAGTGAATGAGTTTCGCATCACTAGGATCAACAGACTTTGACATGCACACTTGTGGATATTTGTGGACCTGATCTGGCTGATGATCCGGACTGATGCAGGAGGCTCCGACAGCAGCTGCTTCCGTGGTAAAGCTTTTCCCCATCTTGAAAGACGTGCTGGCGGTCTTTGGATTGATTGCATCCCGTCCCCCAAATCTGCGGATCTGCTTTTTTAGTGGTGAGCTTGCGTATGCAGCTGTTAAACATCGACCTGATGTTAACAAGTAAACTCGAAACACTTAGATGGTTTGATAGACTTGTTCCAGGATGACACTCCAGTGCCGTCGATCTCACTGCATCAAACCATTGGAATCACTCACCATGCACCTGAATAGGCTTTGTTTTGCTGGCGAATAGAAATGCAAACAACTTGATGATCTAGCAAACTGAAGCTCTCTGTGCGTGCGCTTAAAGCTTCCTCCATTTGGTATATTTTGAGTTGCTATAGTTGTGGCAGCACTAGAGGGTTCAGCAGCACCAAGGATGCCAGCAGCTCCACACTTTCAAAGAGATTGTCGCGCCCAAGAGGTTGGAAACATTGGGAAAAACGAGCAGGTTTTCGGTTGTGTCTCCTTTTTTGGGGTTTCCGCGCGAGAAAGAAACTCCCAAGTCAATGCCACAGGCTCTTTGGTGCTGTACATTGGTGGCATGATTGAGCTCTTCTACTCCAGCCCAAAGAAGGAAGTCGTCTTCTTGAAGCAGCGGAAGGGGCCAGGTTCCCAGTGGTGGACATGCGGGAGGATTTTCAGGATGCTGCGCACGTGCACTTGCCTATAGTTCTGTGCTTCTCTCGCTTTCAACTCATTGGATGCACTGAGTTTTCATTGGATGCACTGAGTTTTCAACCCAACAAGGAGCGCCTTATTGCCGAGATTTGCCGAGGTTCATCAAGCTGGCGTTGCGTGCGGGAGCAGATGTTGTGCCTGTGTACATGTTTGGGCTGCTCGTCAGAGGTTGGAGATTTCAGTCCTTCAGTTGACGGGTATACCTGGCGTCGGGAAACGTTGCGCCGCTTCCCACCACCATGGTGAGAGGCCCAGGGGTCACTACCAGGAGGGCTTTCTCAAAGAGCTCAGGAACACCACAGTGCTCTCAGTCTTAGCTTGGGGCCCTTTAGCCTCCTTGAGCCGCTCGCTGGGGATGTCCGCCACTTGGATCTGAGCTGGTCAGCTTCTGGTTTGGAGAGATGAGGGCCCACTCAAAGAGATTCTTTGAGGTTTTCATAGTTTTTCATGATTTTTCTAAACTCTGGAATGCCAGGACAATCTTCCTTCGCCGCATCGCCAACTCTTCTTTGCTGTTTGCCCGTTCAAATGTACACTAGACAAAAGAAAGACGGCATGCTTGAGCTATATAAGTGTGGAGACTACCTCCGCGCCGTTCAGGTGACCTTGTTCTGGGGACGATTTGGATTGCCCATGCCAAAGCCTGTGCAGCTCGGCCAATATATTGGGAGTGGCATCCTTTGGTTCTTTTGCACTCATGAAGACATGGAAAGACATGGAGAGACCGGATCCACTTGGGCACGAGTGCTTTTGTTTCATTCCCAGTGGTCCTTACGTGGTCCGGGAAGACCTGGCAGGCGCCTGACCTACGTTCGGGGCAGACCGCTGGGAATGCCACACATCGAAAATCCAAGTCCTGCTACCTGACAGGAAACGCTGGGAGAGGGGCGATTGAACAGTTTCGTTAGGCCATTCTTTCCAGAGTGACTCAGATTTTGTGATGCATTCAAGCCAGGTTTTCTGGATAAGGGAGGGGGAGCTAGTTTGCTTCACTGATTTGGAATTCATGTGACTCTGAAGTTTCTTTATTCCGGAGCGCCTGAGCGAAGGGTTCTTCGTAAAAGAACAGGAGCAAAAACATGAGCATTACACATCCGCACACATCCAGATATGCACATCTTCACATCTGCACATTTTTACACCTGCAGAAATCCAGACGTGCACATCTTCACATCTGCATATCTCCCTCTCTCTCTCTCTCTTTCTCTCGCTCTCTCTCTCTCTCTCATTCGCTCTCTTCTCCCTCTGCTTTCTTTTCGTAAGTATTATCTTTCTCTCTTAGGCATAGGTCAGAGGATCGCTTCAATGAGATCAATGAGAACCTGCCCGTATATGGAGCCAGCGCGCATCGATGCTCAGCATTGCCCAACCAAGCACCGCGATGAGTTGCACACACTCAGCGCTGATCCGGTGAACTGCGCACAAACTGTGCACAAACCTGCGTAAGCATCGACTGTCAGACTGTCAGACCTATTCGGTGCAGGGCCTGAACCCACACATTTAAAGTCATTTTAATGGTAAACATAGACATCAACCTGCACACATACAGGTTGTAGGATTTCTTCGGGGCAGGACTGAGTCCATACATTTATAATCCTTGACATAACCTGCAAAAACATGGACTGAAAGACCTCCTCGGGGCAGGACCTGAATCCTCACATTTTATGGTGAAGCTGCGCATAAGCTTGTGTAAAGATCGATTGTACGACTTCTTCGGGGCAAGGCTTGAATCCGACATTTTACTCTAAAGCTGCACTTCCTTTGAACATGTTTTTTCATCCCACCTTTTCTGACACTCTCTTTCACTTTCTATTACACCCTCTCCCACGTTTGCTTTACCAGTTCATCATCATGCAAGCATGCCACACCTAAGCGCTCTCGGGCCATCCGTCGTCTTTATATCTTGGGTGGGTAGCCAATTTTGCGTTCTTACACATGTATTCCCCCACAGACGTTGGCATCCCCCTGTTTGGAATCATGTGGTGGCGCTAAAGGGTTGAACCCTGTTTTGAAATGGGTAGCGAACGTTTACAGTGACCCTGGAACGGGATTTAAAAGCGGAAACTTAAGTCACTTGGGTCTTTGTATGGCATGGAATGTACGAACATGTGTTACCACGCCCTTGTAAAACCAAATATGTCAACGATCCTGGGTACGCCAGGCGTAGCCTGCACCTTTGGCTGAGGAAGACATCGAGAAGTGGCATGCCACGTACTGTGAAAAGCTTACAGAACTCTTCGAGAGCTACAAGGGACGAAACCCAGACTACAAGCACAAGGATTTGATCATCAAATGAGTTTTTGCTCCCTCTGGTGGCCAAAAGTGGTCCTCAGAGTCTTAAATCGCTCAGACGGTTCTGACTCTCGTCTGCGCGAATCGCTTGCGCAAGACGCCGAGTTTTGAACCATTTCCCCTCTGTCTCTGCCCAAACAACGGGCCGCATGGATGCGTGATGCGTTTTCGACCGTCGATGGGAGGCACTGAACTTGATCAAACGACAAATTGTATTTCCTCACGACTGGAAGACAGGTCAGCACATCCAGGGAAAATATACACCTTCAGCGGATCAACTCAGTGCGAGTTGATCGGCCATTTCAATCGTTTCGGTGCTGAAAAGGGCAGGACAAAAAGGCGTGGTTTCTTAGTTCCACCAGCATTGTTTTAAGATACTTTTGTCCACATAAAGTCTCCAAGAAAGTAATGCTGCCAAATGCCAGTCAAAGCTCAGGGTGGTGAAAAGAGGTTCTCAGAAGTTGGGGCATTGTTCCCATCTTCCGCTGAGGATCTCTGTAAAGTCATCTCAGGCTGCAACACCATTGATTTTTCAAGTTTGTATTCTGCAGCACTTCTTCACAGGCGATCCTGAAAAAGGCCTTTGCAGCAATGCGGCAGACTTGGCGACAGAGCCGCGCTCGACGATTGGCCGTGCTTCAGGCGCTTCTTCAGCTGTGTTTTGGAGAAGGTTGGATTGAGGTTTGGCACATCCGGAGATTTTGCACATTTGGAAGGTAGTTGTGAGTTTTCAAAACCACACCTCACTTGGGGCCTGGCCCCTGCAAAGTTGACTATAGCTTGTTGCGAGTTTTTGTCGTGGGCCCTGGGAGCTGCTCTGGTCGTCCGTTCGACATCTTTCGACGCTTTGGTGACGAGGTCATGGATCAGTGGTTGGAGGAGCGGCTCTGGCAAGAAGTGCTGAGATCTCTTCGATTTTGGAGGCTGGAACATCACAGCAACTCACTTTTGGAGGCTGGAACCTCCGTTGGCAAGACCGAACAAGACAGACCCCAACTGGGGTGGTTAGTTGGACGAGTTGTAGCATTTATGTGAATCGAAAAAACGCAGATTGGTTCATGGTTCAAACGACCGTCTATTGATTTGCTACTAGTTACTAGTATATAATGGCCTCCAACCTACTATAGCGATGGCCAACCTGATTTGCTGTTCCAGTCTGCCCGTCGAAACGGCGGAGCCCCACGAGGTCTCGGGCCGCAGCGGGTGCCCTCCGCCGCCGTGGCCCGGGAGCCCCGGAGCGGAGAGTGGAAAACCGGGCGTGGCATACCTGTGGCCATGGCACGGCTATGGGTTCGAGATGTGGAGTACCCTGCTAGACCCCATCGTTTATCCCTGATTGAAAGAAACGTCAAATGATTGTGCAGTGACAACTTTGATTGCGCAGGTGGCATTGCTCTGAAACGCTTCTTCGACGCAAGCTGCTCTCCTGTCCTGCTTGCAGTTGAAGCCATGTTTGGGAAGTTCTCACATGTACAACTCAAACTGATGGGGAACGCAGCACTGTTGAGCAATACAATATATATATATATATATTTAATCACCCTTGCTAGTACCAGAATGATTTTACATGGATGATTTATTGTTGTAATCAACAGTCTACATGACTGGTGCGACATTTTGCACGCCGCAGCGGGCCGTATCCGCGGAGAAACCCGATGGACAGGTGTCAGACGATGGCTAAGCATTTGGATGTCCAATGCTGTCTGGGTGAAGAGGCATGGAGCACTTGGGAGATGAGACAAACCTGGTTGGGAACAACGGACTTGCAAGCTGCTTGGAAAAAGTGCCCAAAGGGCCACTAGAGTTGCTAGAGTCACTAGACCATCCAAGATGTTGGACACTTCATGTGGCACGTGGCAGCAGGGCCTAAGTGAAGCTTTCTTGCGATCAAGCTGAGGTTGGCTCAGGCGGATGTGACCGCGCCGAGTGACCATTCATGCCCCACTTCGGACGTCACGATGTGCCCATGTACCATGGGTTTGACCGTCGCACGCAGCAGAGTTTTCACTTGAAGAGCTTCAATTCAGCCACAGACAAAGCGAAGCATGCACCGGAATGCACGGCATACTAACTATGCCACAGATGAAATGACGTTCCCCAAAGGATAGCCCAGCTTCTTCCCCAATCCTGGTGCTGTGAGTGCTTGCCATCTCCATCTTTTCATCTCCCCCATGGCGCCATGGCCTTGCGACTGGCCCGAGTCTATGACTGGGAACCGGGAGATGGCGAGGTGACCTTCGATGAAGTCCATCATAGGACCGGGCCGAACCGGGTGATGCGCGTGCGTTTCTCCGTGCGTTTGCAACGTCACGCGATGCGTAGGCGACATAAGACGGTCGGGAGTGGATCACATTGGAATACATGGTGCAAGCTTGAGTCTTATTTTTTGACACACATGAAATCAACGATTTTGTCATAGTCCTTAGCAGCATAGGCATACACAATGCTACGTCAGACGAACCAAGGTGAGGTTGAGGTTTGACAAACCAAGGGCCTTTGAACGAGATTCTATCTCACAAACTAGTTTGAATGGTGCTTTCGGATTTTCCATGGAGCAAGCTCAGGATCATCCATCTCAAGTCGGGCGGATTTCAGACGGTGAATGTCATCGATGGAGACGAATCAGCAGCCACAGATGGCCTGTCTGTGCAGTTGGATCAGGCTTCACCAAGGGTTGTGTAGCTATACTTGCCACAACACCTCACAGCTGAAAAACATCTACTCTAAGACACAGCCAGCTGCCTGCCCCGTAAAACAGACACATGCCAAGAACCCGTGATTAAGACATGAACTAGACTGCTCCGCTTCCTGGTTGCTTCTTGGTTTCTTAATATCACACCTCTTTGGCTCATTCCTCACGTGCAGGAGGGCCTGCGGTCCCTGAGATTCTCCCCAGACGGGCTCTTCATCGCCTTCCTCTGCGGCCGTCGATTGGGATCGGTGCAGACCATGCAGTCCAGGACTAAGGATGGCTAAGGCATGAGGTATTTCTTTTTTCGGCAATGGGTGCAGCATGGTGGGATCCCAATCGGTATGAAACTCTCAGCTTATTGCAGTAGTTAGATCAGATCAAGGCTTCACCCGGATGCCTGAGGAGCAAATATCCCACACCTCAAGTCTGGAGTCTTCGTTTCACGCCCCAGTGAGGCCAAAGCAAGTTCTTTGGCCTACATGCAAGTGGAGTAGCAAGGCAGGAGCATAGGATAGGCTTGAGATGGCTTGAGATGCAATTGCATTTTTGGACACAAGTCTAAACTCATTTGGTGCTATCATCCTTCATCATCGTTGAGAAGAGCAACAGAGTAATCTGCTATTAGCCTTTGAAGCCTTCATTCGCCACACACCTGGAGACCACGCCATTTCCCGAACCAGTTTCAGGGGAAGACTTCCACCAAACGAGATGCCGCTCTGAGACAGGCACCGGCCCAAACGGGCTCCGTTTGGAGTGGGACAGGACTGTCCCCCTGTTCTTCGACCGGTCCCAGGCGGACTTCGAAGTCTTGGGCTATTTCTGGTTGCCGGGTGGGCCGCGCCTTGCACCGGTGCCGTTTTCCGTTTCGTGCTTTTTCGGGGCCTGGTCTGAGCGTGGTTTTGGGGAGCGGAAGCGTTGGGCTGGGCCGGTGCCACGATGGGGGAAAACAAAAGACTTCTAAGTTCGAAAAGCCAATTTGCATTGAGGCAAGATTGCAACTCCGATTTGGCGTTGGTGAGCACTCAGGGCATTGAAATCTTCCGGCTGAACTTCGAGCAGAAGACCTGCAAGTCTTTGAAGACCTTTCCAACAGCGGTGCGTATTTGTTGGTTGGATCCCACCGCCAGCACCGTTCTGCTTTGCACAGGGACCAGGACACTGCAGCCCTTCGACTTCCGCCGGCGAAATCCCAAGCTCCCGCGCTTCGATTTGGTCGCTGAGTTCGATTTGGGTGGTCGTTCTTTTTTTACTTGTGTTTTCATGGTCATGCCGCTACCAGTGTTTACAGTATTTATTTCATTTTTAAAACCCCTGCGAACAGCGGGTCATGCCAATGTGGGGGACTCCTGGGGCTGGGGGTTTGACTGAAGCAGCCCGTTTTTTCATTGGTCCTCCCAGGTCTTGACACGCGGTCAGTCGATTGAGCCCTCAGATGTGGCCCTGGTGACGATCTATGACTCCAGCTATTGCATTCATGCTGATGGGTTGACTGGCTGCTTGGAGAACAGATGATATTTGGAGAGGGTTTCGGCGGAGAGAAAAAGGGCCGTGGATATGTCACTTCCGATTAAACGCCAAGAGACATTGGGACAACAAGTAAGCGCTGAGAGCCAGATATTTGACCGCAGATGCGTGTCAAGACTAAAGAACGACTTACTACTTGTAGTAGAAGCCTAGGCATGGCAAACTGCATTAAACCATTCAATGACGCATGTTGGAAACTTGGATGTGCTGCATCAAATTGACATCATGGTAGGGACCTATATTCCAGAGATCCTCTCCCTCATCATGCAGTGTACAGTGGAGTCCATTGAGTGGCATGCCATGCATAGCACTGGGTCCGCTAGGTCCCCACGAGACCCCACAACACCCAGAGACAGCACCGAAGGCCGCAGACGGCCGGCCGCTCCCGAGGAAAGGTGTCCCTTCGAAATGTCACCAATCTGGAGCAGGGCACGCCGGAGCATGACATCGTCATTGATGTCTCAGAGAACGACACACCCGTGGGCCCCCTACGGCTCTCGGTGGTGGATAATCTGCTCATCGTACATTGCTTGGAGAGGACGTGACCCATGGGTGTGACCCATGGGTGTGACGCATGCTTTTTTGTTTTCTATTCGAAGGCGCCATGCACATGAGTCCTCTTTGCCATCCTGTGAAAGCAAAGCAGTGTCAGAGTTGGGCCAGAATTGCAGAACTTGATTATGTTGACAGTTTCAATCGTCAGAGCTTGTGGTTGAGTGTGGTAATGGTTTCCCGAACATGGCAGGATGTTGGCCGTTGTCTTTGACATTCGCCACAAGGAGCGTGACATCGTTCCGAGCTTGATTACACCCGGTGCAGTGGTTTCCAAAGATGAAACATGCACTGGTAGTGAATCTGCATGGATCTCATGGGATTACTTGGATGGGGGCATCGTGCTCGATGCAGCCAGAGGCGTTGTGCATCAACTCTGTATTGACGCAGGTGCAATGTTAGAAGACTTTCTGTCTCGACCGCCTCATGAACTTTCAACTGTTTTGAAGCTGCTTCTGCGAAGATCAGGATGCAGGGATCACATTGTGCAACTGATGCGAAAAGCCCTGACATCAAAGACCAACTCAGTTGAACTGTCTCAGGGCTTTCAAGTGCTCAATTCAGCGTATCGACGCGTCATCGAAGAACTCTCCCAGAAATCGGGCACGCGGCAGACCACAGTGTCCCTACAAGAGCTTGAGGCTCAAATCATTGACCAGTCGGTTCTATCTGAAAAAGACATGGTGACATTGGTCTTTCATCCTCACTTCACGAACAGCGAGGGCCTGGAAGCTCCATCTGAAAGCAAGGACAGCTTCTCGCTGGACACTTGGCATATTCCAGAAAGTCTTCAGAAGGAGGAGACCACGTGTGGCCAAGTTGGGAAGACACCCTACATCCTTTCGGTGGTGATCGCCTACTTGCGCAGTCTATTGGGACTTCAAATACTGCCCCACAAGATTCTGCAGTGCTTTGTCTTCGACCTTTGCGTCTATTACAGGCCTGGATTGAACACTCTTTTCGTTTTGGCTTTCTACATGAAGACTGTGAGCAAGCCGAGGTCCGGTGTTGAAAACACGGTAGTTTAGCTGTCTCGTCTGTCACAGGCAAGAGCACCTTCTCCAGCAGCTACTCCACTACCATGCCGGGCACTCAGGTCCTAAATTCTGTGTCAGTCTTCCTGCGGAATTTTCAGGGTCCAGATGCGCGGAATTTGATTGACTCTCATTCAACTAGTCTGCTCTCAACTATTGGTTTGATGTTGATTTTTCTTCTGTGAATTGAAACACAACGCACATTTTATGGACTCCAACTTCACATCCACTTCAACCGGCGGTCCTCGCGCCTGTCCAACCGCGCCGGTCCAACCGCTGCGCCGGTCCCTCCGAGGTCTTGTTGGACTCGCCGGAGCTGGCGGTGCGCCTGAAGCAGCTGGCGCGCGGCGTTCCGCCCGCGCGCGGCGTTGCGCCCGCGCGCTGGGCCACTCAAGCGAGCCTGGAGACTCGCCGGGTGTCGTGGGTCGGATCTGGGGCGGAGCAGGTGAAACAGCTGGTGCTGGATGATCTGGATGTATTGGGTCGTGACTCTTCTTTTTTGTAGTGCCGGGTGGGTCGAAAGGTTTCTTTTTTTTCAAGGCGACAACATGGAGAAGTGGATAGAAGAGGTGGAGTCTTTCCTTTAAATTGATGGAGTAAGAGAGGTCCGACCTTCCGGAGTCTGAGACATGGTATTCCATGGCACTGCACTATATAGTGCAAGTAGTAATGTACTATTGAAACTAACATTTATCGAAACCGTGAAACATTTTGTGAGCATCCTGAAGTGGAATGAAGTAGATTTCATCATTCATTTGAGAATGGTGCATGAGCAGGTAGAGTCGGCTGGTAGTCACCCATCAGACGACCTCCGGTTCGGACTTGCCCAGACGTCACCGCCTGAGGACATGGCGCTTCGTGTGCGGGAGTTCTCTGTGGTCGCGGAGATGTTGCTGTTTTCAGGTCAATACCTGGACATTGTGTCGCAAGCTCAGTTCTTCGATTTGCACTTGTTTCGAGGAACACACTGCTTTTCGCATGGCTGTGAAGTATTGCAAGGGAACATCTAGACAGCGCGATCAAACACGTTTGGCTTCAATGCCATCTGTGGCGATCCGCTCACAAAGAGTCACACCTGGAGTCACAGCATCGTGCGACCCAAGGGCCCCTGAAACCTGTTTGGTGCGTGTTGGCGAAGCAACATGCCAGGGCGGTGAAACCCCCGCTTTCCACGAGTCGAGCTCCGTGACATGAGGCCCTTCCTGGTGAACCAGAAGGACGTAGACTTCAAGGTCAAGACTTTGCTGGAAGACTTGGAGAAAGACCAGAAGGCGAACAGCGAAGATCCCGAGCTGATGCAGCACGTGCCTTGACTGGAGAAGAGTGGAATAGAGACCTGTAGATGCCTCTAGAAGGCTTCGAGGCAGGGAATTCTAGGAGCTCAGTCTCAGTGACTCAGGATGTTTGCAGAGTGTTCTGTAAATATATGTAAATATCAAACAGATCGTGCTCTCGAATCTTCCTGCAATGCGGGCAATCAAGGCTTGTTCTTTTTGTAGAACAGACGTACATAAGAAGAAAGGGGGAACTTACATTTGCTTTATTTGCTAGATCCTTTACCTGCTAGTTCTTTTTTCCGCCTCACACTTGATAGCCTTGATCTGTTTGACTTGGTAAGGTCCTGACGGAGATCCGCTTGTGGAAGCAAGAAGCCGACGTGTCTCCCCGGTCTGCGGGGGAATCGGCCGAACGAGGACCAGCCTTGTTCTGCAGTCGCTTCAGCCGCGAGACGAAGAAGGGTCACCGGTTTCGTCCGGGTTACTTTGTTGCATCATTTTGCTGCAATCCGGGTCACTTCCGTCGTCTTCCATCGATCCATCCATCCACTATCATCTTCCGTGTGGAGTGGTTAGAAGCGTGGTCCATGTTGAAGCATGGAAGCTCTGATTTATGTAACGCCCATCACTACCGTAGCAGGGGCCCTTGCTCTTACCCTCCATCGATTGAAATCTTGATTGGATATTTCATGAAGGTTCCTCTTCATGTATCGGTAATCTGTACAGTGGATCACCCCTGCGGATGTGAAACTTCGATAACCCCCGGTCGGTAGCGACACGGTCGTCGTCTCGGTTGTCGGACGATGCCGCACCCAGTACCTCAGCCGGACCTGAGTGGCTGCGAGAAATGGCTCCCAGATCTGGTCCCCAAGGCCGGGGAGAACTGCGGGAAGAGTGATAGAACTCGAAGAGACCAAAGAACTCGAAGAGACTCGAGAACTCATCAAGCTATCTTAGACTCAAGATGAATTATATAAGATGAGATGATAGAAGACATTGTAAGACTCATGATCCTCACCCAGACTCTTCAGATGATTTGCATCCGATGGTCCGATGGTTCTTCATCGGACCCCTCAAACTCCATTCAGACTGATTACTTTCATCCAGACTGCGAGCTTTCAGGAGCAAACAGGTGAGTTTTAGAATGTATATATCCATGCAAATCATGTTTTTGACATTGTAGATTGCTCTTATTAATAAGATCAGATTGAGGGAATGGGGTGTATAATTGCATTCAACTGTCTGCAGATTGAAGAATCGTATGATTTTGGGAGCCTAGTTGGCCCATTTGGGAAATTGAACGACTGCTCATTCCTGCACAGGAGGTGCCGAAGACCTTCGCATCTTGATACGCGGAAAACATTGATGTGCAGCGCAATGCCAGACATTTTGCCCGAAGTTGATTGGTAGAGATTCTCCCACGAGGCCTACTTATCCCAAGCTGCTACTTTGCAACTGTCCACTTTATCCTCAGCAAGATCCTGTCTGACATACAATCCGCTTTCAAAGTAGGTCTTGTTGCAACCGGCTTCATTCATGGAACCTCTTCTTTTTGCCCCACCATCGACGCCCGGAAGCGCAGAATCTCCGCGGGCCTGGCCAGCCTGGACGGCCGGCGAGAGGCGCGGCTGAGGCGGGACGGTGACGGCGTTGTTTGGGTGTCCTTTGGGAAGGTATCGGACAGAGTATTGGCCAATGGATATGTGCCAAGCAATAGGTATCGGATATCAGACCTACTTGTACCTCCAAGCAGACCTTTTGGCGCATAATTGGTCTTAGGTAGGTCTGTTTGGAGTGACCCCGCTTTCTGTTCCGCAGATGTTGAAGAATGGAACTGGGGGGAAGTGGTGTCGGTGTCGGTAAAGTGTTTACGCTCGCTTGTCTAGAGAGAGAGAGAGAGAGACAAGACACGAAATGAGATCACTGTCGAGATGAGAAGACACATGAAGACTCTGAACTTTGCGAACCATCTCAATGAAAACGCACAAAGAAAACGTGCCCAGCATCCCTCATAAGGCCTGGAAGCCTTTCTCTGCTGGGCCTTTCTCCGCCCAGGACCAACGCCCTGGTCGCTTGGCGCCGTGTGCTTCGCCGAGAGCGTGTGGCCCAGCGGGTGGGGAAGCTCAGCGGCGCCGGGATTCCTTCAGCTCTCATGGGAGTGATGGTGGATGGACGGCATGTACCATATCGTATGACAGCCATCCAGCTAAAAATGAACTTTATATCGTTGTCCTAACATTGTCATATTGCTCGCTTCCCTACCGAAATCTGCCTACAGAAACTCTTCTTGTTGTTATTGGAGTTTGAGAACGTAAATACGACTCATCGCCGGGCCCGAGCCACGGATTCAATAATTGTTCTGGTGTCCCCTTGGAGCACTCACTGGAGGGTGCATAGAGCACTTGCAAGCGAAACTGATGTGGAGCTACGATGTGCGTTGAGTTTGAATTATACAGAACATGGAGAGCTAAAGGTGTTGTGGATGTTCCATTCACTTCCATCACCGATCACAGACGCAGGGCCCCTATCGACCAACCAAGCAGCCTGCTGGGGCTCAAGGTCTCGGATCAGAAGCAGTGCCAGATGGTTCAGAGCGTGCTGAAGCTATGGGCTCGGCCCACAGATCCTCCTGCAGAAAAGAATATCATGTGTGGTGCCACGTGCTCTCAATGGGGGGGGACCACTAGTTTCAAGGACCCACGAGATTTTTTTTTGGGACTTCCGTCTAAGGCTGAAGGCTTCTGTTTCGGCCCGTTTTGGACGGTCTGGCAGACTGGAGCGATCGATCGCTCTGGTTTCGTTGATCGAAACGGCCAACTCCTCGAGTCCACGCAGAAGGCAGAGGACTTTTGCGTCATCTCATCGAAAGGAAAGGCCAGCAGGAAGTAACTCTTTCAGTTTGATCTCATGAACCAAGATCGAGCTTTATCCATCTGTCTCCCACAAAGCAGCTTTCATATTGTGAAAGCCTCGGAACTCTTGGCTTTCAATGTGGCGCTCCACGTGCTGTCCAGTGAAGGCTTCCATTCTAGAAGATTTGCCGACTAGAATCAAACGGACTATGTTGCCAGAAACCAAAAAAGTTGACTCCTCACTTCAATAACTTCAATCGAAAGCATAGTATCCAAACTTCAAGCCTGGGTTGAATGGGTTTGCTCACAACTGGATTTCATCCAAACCCATTCAAACCTAGGCTCGCGAGCGCCTGCGCCGACCTCCCCGACCCTACGCAGACTGCTCCGCAGACACCCCTTGACCCTTCAGCTTCCCCGGTGCCAAGGCCAATGCCTGGCGCGCCCAACGCTTCCACCAGCTGCGCTGGGCCTCGAAGGCTTGGCGAGGCCGGCGGGCTGGTGGAGCCACCGGGTCATGCTTTATTGCTTGGCATATGTTTAGTGATAGTGGTCGTTTGTGGTCGCGTGGGCTTGGGTGTAGAAAGATGGGATGGTTTGAATTTGAACGTATATATATTCTTTCAAGCGCAGGACGCGACGATTTGAACTTCTGACTTGTTTGAAGCAGACGGCTACGGTTTCAGGTTTAGGAATCGATTTGATAGGGAAAGGACAAGCACAACTCTACTTTGACAAGCTGCTCTTTGTCTTACACTTCGCTTTGGAATAATTTGACATATGTCGATGTCAAGAAGTTGAAAATATTTGGTCGTAGACAGAGCTGACCACGCAACGGATGTCTTTGCAGATCCGAGTTTGGTCGTAGAATCCTCAACCATAGGGGCTCATTGATCAGTGCAGGATCTCACATAGCAACGGTTGGAGATTCCAACAAACTCATTCACTCCACTTGAACGGTTCAGTCTAAGAGAGCTGTTTTCATGCCAGCCAATGAATATGTAGAAAATCTTGGTCCATTCGAAGGGCCTTTGAAGTGGACAATGGAAGCACCTTTGTCCCGTGCTTGCATTTTCAGGTTTTTTCAGCCTCTCCTTTCCTGCTAAGGCTTCCTCCAAGAGCTTCGCCGACAGCAAGCCGGGAAGTGCATCCGTGCGCAAGGCAAAGGGGTTGGGGATTGTGCACTGAAACATCCTACTTGGCTTTTCGTTACGCTAAGGCTATTTGACACTGTAGATCACTTTGGATCGAACGAGAATCAGGCATTTCATTTTATTGAGTATCACATCGCAATCATGTTGTATTGTATTGTATTGTATTATATAATATACATGTGTTATATTTTGCTAGTTATATTGTATTATGTTATATGGTATTGGTTATACTATATTATGTTATCAAAAGCAAGCTGTTGTATAGCCTTGAAACAATACATTTGACCCAGTCGCTACGCAAAAAGGTGGATGCCTTCCATTTACTACGAAGAATTCTGAAATTGACCACTACATTTATAGACAGGCGCAACACAAATACGAGGGTCTATGAACTTGCCTCTGAAGTTGCTTTTCCGAACCAACCTACCAAAAGGATTAAACCTTTTTCTCAAGAGCTAGATGAGAGGCGAGTAAAGTTGGCCGGGCATATTTTGAGAGTGCAAGCCTCCGATCCTCTAAGACAGGTCTCATACCAAGCAGGCAGTGGGGACCCCATCCAGATCGGTAAACGTAGAGTTGGCCATCCTAGACAACAATGGCTGTACAGGACTAATGAAGCCATTCACAACATGATTAGCCACACAGATTATGATGGTGACCCTGTTCAAAATAGTTCTATTTTACGGGCAGCGCAGCAACGTATCGTATGAGTCCTTGGCAAGCGCCAAAGCATCTTTTTGAGTTGCTATGGAGCAACGTGATGCATGGCTAAAGAAACATATTATGTTATACTATACTAGACTATCTTATATTATGTTATACTATTCTATACTATGATGTTGTACTACAGTATAATACTATCAACACATCATATGCTTTTGAACACACGTATATATATATATATATGTATTCTGCAAACCACTCTCCAAGTCTGAGGGTCGTCGACTAAGAGACCGATTGCTGTGCACCGACGTTGTGCAACCGTGCAGGTCGAGCCTACCAAGCTCGAGCCGCCGCTTGGTGAACCATCGCAGTGGTGGTCACATCGCGAGAGAGCAAATCGAACCTTCACAGGAGGAGGACCATCACAGAGGGTTTCAGGATAAGGTGGATGCGTTTTGGCCCCTACTGCCATTGGGTCAGCAGCAATGCAAGGCCTCAGACGTTTGCTGCGACTGGGCTGAGGCCTTACTTCGCTGGAACGTCGCCATCTCGCGATGCTCCCATGTCTTAGTGCTTCTGTGTTTTCTGGCAGCGAGCAGGAGCTGGGCATAGGGGGGCAGACGTTAATACTCTGAAAATCTGATGAGGAATCGGAGACGTAGATGACACCGCCATGTTTAGGGCCGCCATGTTTCGGTTCATGAACCTCACACTCACCCCAAAATGTTCCTGGGAGAAGCGACCACCCGAACCTCCAACATTGCTGCAAAACATCCAGCATCTGAAGCGACCGCCCGTTGCTCCATTTGGCCAGGCTCCGCCGGCGCGAAGTTCATCTTCGTCAGAGCCTCCGGGTGCCGTCCTGAGAGGAAGGAAGCGCTGAGAGGAAGGAATAGGCGAGAAGGATCGAAAAGGTTGCACAGAAGGAAATGGAAGGCACCCGGAGGCTCTGGAGAATCTGCTGATTCCGGGGTTGGTCTTCAAAGGCTTCAGGAGTGTTTAAGGGTTTTACTGTTTTTTGGAAGGACACATGTATGAGCTTATCCAGTCAAAGTGTTGATCTGAGGTGTGGCACCTTGGCCTCATACTACAAAGATGGCAGAGTCTAAAGGCAGCTACAGCCCTGGAGGCAGATGCCACAGTTCCATTTCGCAGTTATTGGAGATGTTCCGATGATTTTCGCATCTCTACATATCTCTACTACCTTCATTGCGAATGTAGAAATCAGCCTGGAAGTCCAACACATTTGGGAGTTCTTTTTTCCAGACATTTTCCGAGAGAAGATCTCGACTCCGCACAGGCGCCCGTTCCGAATCGGCTCGGCTCGAAGCCGTTCCAGGTCAGACGCCTACAGCGTTCCACCCTTTGCTCTTGGCATGCCACAGCAGGACGGGTTGATGCGAACAGGGACGTCGAGGACAATCCGAATTCGATCCCTTTTGAGCTTCAAGCGGTTTCATGTTTCGAGTGGAGGCTTCAAAATCCATGTTTCGAGTGGAGGCTTCAAAATCCATGTTTCGAGTGGAGGCTTCAACATCCATGTTTCAAGTGGAGGCTCCAAGAAAGCTGGGTCCTCCATGTTTTCGAATCCTCCAGACTGTTTGCTCCTCGGTGCCGACCACCTGCGCACAGTCCCTTAGGGCAGTTGATCACGGAGCGCCGGCAGCGGGAGCTCAAAAC